CAGCTCTCTGCAGGTCATTCACTAGGTCCCCCCGTGTGGTTCTGGAATTTTTGCTCACCGTTCTTGTGACCATTTTGACTTCAAAACGTATTTATAACTCTTTGCATATACAGTGTACCATTTAGTGTATTTATTAAAAAGTACAGAACAATTCTATTTCTATTTGGCCAGAAAATCCCCACTCTCAGAGAACTTCACTCTCACGTATAGTTACAGAAATGCAAAGGTATACATTTTATTTGTTTATTTTATTATTAAACTTCTGTGCTGCCCATCTTGCCAAGGTGACTGTAGGTGGCTTACAGTCATGTGATTAAAATACCATATAAAACAATATGTTAAAACATTAAAAACAATAAATAAGAACCTTACATTTAAAAATTCAGATAAAATTTGATTAATCATGATAGAAAGGAAGGTAGAAAAGTGTGCATAGAGAGGAGCTGGGGTTTAAATAAATGCCTATAAATCAGAATATAATTATATGAGGAAAAGAAAAAGGGAGATGTGTTAATTCAAACTACAGGAACATATTTTGTGGAATTATTTTGTAATGCAGCCTTCCTAAAAATCTTGCCCCTCAAGAGAATCCAAACATTGTACCAGAACTTATGGAAATAGATTATATATTTGCTCATATTCTTAAAAGTATTACATTACTAAGAACATGTGTTCTATTTTTTACAAAAACTATATCAATTCTAGAGTTTTAGAACTATATATTATCCACTGGTGCACTCTGTCAGGATATAACATACTGTTGGCAAATTCTCTGTCTAAAAAAATACATTTTACAAATGCATTTTCCTTAAGCATCATTTCATGAAATTAATTTTCCCCTTAGTTATTCAACCTGGCTTCTAAAAATGCCTCCCAATATTCTAGGTATTTTTTTAAAGAAAATTAAACCAATTATTCATGTGTTAAGTTTCTCTTTGAAGTTACTGATAAATAATTCCCATTATTTTCAGCAGCTTTTGAATCTTGATAGTAAGACTTTTTGAAGTACAAGCTTGCTTTACAACCCAAATGATCAAGATATGTTGATTGATTGTAAAACATGTTCTTTAGGCTTGAAGTGCTCAGAATGAAACATGAAATGCTTATGAAGCAAAACCTTCAAACAGATTATGTAACTTGAAGAGACTGAATAGTCTTATATTTTATCTGTACGGATTAATTTAATTTGATCTTTTCACTTTGAAGTTGTATATACATTGTGTTCAAAGCAAAGAACCTTTTTCGGAAGACTTCAAAAGAAAACTTGAGTAATAGCAAACATGAAATTGTAACAGCTAGTTCTAAAACAAAGAAATTAAGAACTTTTGCCTATTTTTTTTAAATAATTTATAAATATATACAGCTCAAATGAAGTAGCTAAGGTTTAGCACTTCGGAGTATCTGCTATCATAGGTTCATAGATCATACAGCTCTTGGTAAAGAATGCTGTTGGATGACATCTGTAAAAATTGTCATGTAAAAAGCTAAAATGGCAATCTGCCCTCATGTGGATTAAAATGACCTTGAGTTCATCAGATTTTCCAATTTTCCCAATTGGTTAAAATCAAACTTGGATTTTCTCTTTTTCAGCACTTAGGACAGCAGTCTCTTCTTCCTTGCAAAGCAACTCAGTGTTTTGAACTAAACCCCAATTGCTTGTTTTGTATTTTGGAGAAAAGAAAAACTTCTGCCTTACAGTAACGGGGTATCAGTACTGGGCTAGTCAGATTTTCCTTGGTCTGTTATTGGAAAACCTATTATGGAGCAAATAAAAATTGGAGCAATAGTGCAAATGTTAATAGGCTCAGATCACTGAAAAAATAATTTCAGTTATTCACTTTTTTTAAAATTTCTCCTTTTTTCTTCTTTATATTAGTTTGTGTTAGTTTTTATCTTCTTGTTTAAAAATATATCTGTATATGTGTGTAAAATGTCTGGTTTTGCCATTAGGCACCAGTTTACCTTCTCTCTGTTTCTTGAACTGAATATATTAAAATCCAATTTTATTTTTCATTAGCTGCTCAGGATTATAGCTACCAGCATTGGATAGATGGCTATATAAATTGAACAAATGTATAAACAAATCTTAAATAAATAAATAAATAAATAAAAATAATTATATTTATGAGAAATATTTATGTTAATTAGCATTAGATGTTCATAGTTTACTTGGCCACAACCCTCTATATATAAAACAGTGCTTCAATGTGTGAATGGTAACAATTGTGGTCTAACACCATGTAACAAAACTTCAGTACCTTGAGGTTGTATGATCATGGTAATTTAAGGAAGAATAGAATCCAAAACATTTGTAAAGAAATATGTTATGAATCAACTCAGATTAATTAACAGAATAACAGAGTTGGAAGGGACCTTGGAGGTCTTCCAGTCCAACCCTCTGCTTAAACATGATAACCTCCACCACTTCAGACAAAAGGTTATCCAACATCTTTAAAGCTTCCAGTGTTGGAGCATTCACAACTTCTGGAAGCAAGTTGTTCCACTGATTGATTGCTCCAACTGTGAGGAAATTTCTCCTTAGTTCTAGGTTGCTTCTCTCCTTGATTAGTTTCCACCCATTGCTTCTTGTCCTACCCCCAGGTCCTTTGGAGAATAACTTGGCTCCCTCTTCTTTGTGGCAACCCCTGAGATATTGGAATACAGATAACATGTCACCCCTAGTCCTTCTTTTCATTAAACTAGACTACCCAGTTCCTGCAACTGTTCTTCTTATGTTTTAGCCTGCAGTCCCCTAATCATTTTTGTTGCTCTTCTCTGAACTCTTTCTAGAGTCTCCACATCTTTTTTATATTGTGGTGACCAAAACTGGATGCAGTATTCCAAATGTGGCCTTACCAAGGCATTATAAAGTGGCATGAACACTTCATGTGATCTTAATTACAAGTGTTGATTTGGTAATATGCAGGAAAATGATTTTTAGTTGGAAAAGGAAGAAAAATTGTAAAACCACTTGGTGGCAGTAAAAACCTATTATAGAAAAGTTGAAATAAAAAAATCTGGGGAGGAACATTAGGACAAATATGGTTGAGATTCCCCAATCGCTATTTTTGGTTCCACCACAAAACCGCGGAGGACAAAAGCACGCTTGACAAAAGCGCATACATGATGTCATCACAGCGCGACGAAAACATCGTGCTGTGATCGAAAAATGTAAAAATAAAGCGAAAACCTTACCCT